ACAAACCGAATGAAAAGGAAATGAAGAACTTACAGTGCTGCCTACCTTTAAAGTCATTTGATTTGAAATGTTGTGGCTTAGAAGAAGACTTGGAAAAATAGTGGATCACTTCAGAAAGTGGTTACAGAGGCCACAGAAAACAAGGCATCATTTCTACCATACTGTATTAAAAGCTATTTATAGATGAGTTTTAAACCCACTGGGTGTATTTTTGCTAATACACTCCACACTTCTAATTTTACCATTAACCTTGATATATAGTTTAAAACCACCCAATTTGCACAGCACAAACAAATTCTGGCCCCCATCCTGTGAGGCTTAACCATTATTAGGTATGTTCAGTTACTTATTCCCATTATACTTTGGAATTCTTGGCTCTATTGATGTTTGTTGAATGAACACTTATAGCCCTTATGATTAAAGAAACCCAGAAAACCACAACTTGCACGCTTTCCCTTGCTTCCTCCCTCACCCCCACCATTCACACATCCACATTTTTCTTTCTTCAGAATGAGAGAAAACTTGATCTGCACAGAAATGCAAGGCTCCAACCTTTCATCTCAGTTTTGTCTTTGTTCTTACTCACCACTCTCACAGGTTGGTAGTGGTGTCGGCCCCCACGTACTGTTTGCTTGGCACCAAACAGTCTTGTTTCCTTTCATGGTGAAGTTGGTATAACAGGTAAATGTCACAGATTCACCATGTCTGTATAGTCGTCTAGATCTTTTATCTTTGTATCCCCCTGGTACTACAGGCTCAGCGCAAATAGAATTTCTGTTGTAATATTCACATATAGGAGCAGCTTTACTCCATATTCCTTTCACTTGGTCATTACTTATACAAAAAAGAATTCTTTCTCCAATTAGACGGAAGGCAGATGGGCAACTATACCTTACTACAGTATTAAGTTGTATAGGGCCAGAAACATAACTATTCCGACCATTTTCGATAGGAGGCGGAGGGTCACAAGTAATCCCTGAAAAGTAGAAAAAGACATATGTGATCATGCTCATTTTAACAACAAAAAGATTCAAATTTAGACTAAACATCCAAATACAAATCACATCACTTTTTCAGAAGCAGACTTAAAATTTTTTATAATTTATTTCTTACAGTCCCTGCTTATTCCCAAATTCCTAAATTCTTACCTTTTTGTTGATCCTCAGTAAACAAATTGATATAGGACTTATAAGCACCATCTTGATCAAATAATGACAATGAAACAATTTATTGAATAGTTCTGAGTCTAATGAATTTTAATAATGAAAAATAGGCAAAGAGCACATGAAAATAATTGCTACTGACAAACTAATCACACGTGGGGAGGTATCATGGGCTAGTGAAATATGGGTTCAGCAGACCTGGTATCAAATCCTCACTGTCATTCAATAGCTGTGTGGCCTTTGGCAAGTCTTACCCTCTCTAAGCCTCAGTTTCCTAAGTTGTCGTATAAATCAAGCTATTTCATAAGGTTGTAATGAGAGTCCAGTGAGAGAAAGCTACCTGCAAGGGGCAAGTACAAAACCTGGAACACATGAATTATTCAATACCTGCTTGAAACACCCATCTGGGGCTACAAGTGCTGAAAGTACTCCTGCCCTGTTGTAAAGATACAGCCTCACTATAGTCATTTGTCATCCTTTGATGCTGGACCCCTTTGAAAAAGCCACAGGAAGTGATTAGAGGTTTGGAGTAATAACCTCATATCCTTTGTTTACTTCTCCTAACGTGCATGAAGGATATCAATGGTTTATAGCTGCGTTGATATAGGCACATCTTTCCTGAATGAGTCTCAGAATAAAGGGAAAATTGACAATCTCCACAACTCCTGGTTGATTCCCATTTAGCTCCAAAAGGTGCCCATCAGCAGAGGAAATGGCATAAGGAAGGCATGGCCAAACCATTTCAGCACATGAATGCTACTCAGTCTCAGTAAGAGTAACTTTATCTTAATACAAATAGAATACTCAATACAATATGCAGTCAACTTAATAAAATTAGTTTGGGTCTACATTCTAGAACATACAGAAGAGTACATATATGGAGAAGATGTTATAATGATAAATGCAGGAAAACACACCAAAAATCAAGAGGCAAGAACCATACTTAATTATTTTGTGTTCTACTCACATTCACAGACAGGAAACTTATTATTCCAGAGTACTCTCATTCCCTCTGCGACACATTGACTAGAAGATTTGCCATTTAACCGGTACCTTAAATAATAAGGGGTAGCAAATTGTCACCAGAACAAACCAATTCTCACTGGCATGGAATTAGTCAAGTATGTGACATTAATGGGCTCTATTTTTTAAACATTCTGGCATAAGGATAAAGTCCAAGATTATGAATTAGCTCAGCTATGTGATGACTTAAGACCTGGTAAAAGCACAGAGGGAAAAAATCCTAATGATCATATTCTTTTTAAAAAATTCTCCTTTTTCTCTTTAGGATCCAAATGTCAAGATTCTCTTGACCATTTAGAAAGAAAAAAACTCAGTTCCTAATGAAGAAATATGAAAGACCCAGTTCCCTAAGCTTACTGCAAAGAGCCCCTTTTATTGAACCCCCATCATATATTCGTTCTCCATAATAAGAGCCTTAACTTCTGACACAAAACTGCTTTTTCAAATGATGAATGGGCAATTCCCAGCTCTGGCTGGCTAAGCTCAATGCACAGACATGGATAAAATCAATAGGATTTGCTTAATAACAGAATTCTGAGTAATAAAGGTAAAGAAAAGAAGGGGAAGAAAATCAGAGAGAGGAAAAAAATTAACTGTCTTTAGAGATCACATTTTGCAATGCTTAGCTATGAATCACAGGTCTCAATTCAAGGCCTGTCACCTCACACTCACCCTTCCTTACAAATAAATGAAACCTCTGCTCCAAGCTGGAGATTAGGAGGAGCCACCACATGGCCATTGAGAAGTTGGTTTGGAATGGCATCACATGATTTTGCTAGGAAAAAAGAGACAAGGCCAGCATGTGAAGAGTCAGAAAACAGCTGAGTTTCCTTAAGATGGAATAAAGTTTTAGGCACCTTCACATTTGGGGGCTGTTTGGCTCCAGGTTCCCAAGGATATACACTGCATAGAGTTAGCTCCAATGAGAGTGTAGCCCGGCTCACAGCTGTAGGACACTTCCTGTCCAGTTAGAAAGAATTCCTTATCCATTTTGTTATAAGTACCATGGTGAATATGTGGAGGTGGTGGACACCCTGAGAAAAGAGCAGGACCAGAGGCCTTTTATTTCTGAAATAAGAACTTTTTTCTCTACAACCTAAGCCAACTTGGTGTTCGCAGGTGTGGGTGAAGGTGGTCATGTCATCTCTGCTAAGTGTAAAGCAGAGAGTCTTTTGGTGAGGTGGAGTGGGGCTAATGAGCATTACATTTTCAGACATGATAAACCATGCAACTATCTACTTTCCCTATCTTAACCTGTGCTAAGAAACATTACACTCATTCATCATTTTCTACTTCATTTAACTAAATGAGCTCAGATGTTCTCAATAATATTGTAGCTAAGTGAACCAAACTTTCGTAATACATTTTTCACCGTCAAAAATCTGTCTTTTTCCTGCTTCCCAGTCCAGGTTGATGAAGATACTGAGCCTTGTGGAAGGGGGTCCCAATGTTGCCAGTTTTTCTAAGTCAGATATTTCTCAATAAGAGTAGGGGAGAAAGGGAGTCTAGGGGAAGAGGCTCAATCTTAATTCTAGCCTTATTCCACAAAGTCTACATTTTTCAATATGAGAATATATAATATTTATAGTATTTTTAATCAAATTCTGACATCAGCCAATTTCCCCCATTGGCATGGCCAATAGGATTGAGAGTTTATGTTGTCCTCATTTAAATAAAATCTAATCTGACATATGTTTTGGAAAAATCTCTCATCATTGGCTCTGATACGATCATTTTTTTCTGAAGCATCTTCTAATTTTCCTTCATTACGATAGATCTAGCACTGTCCCAGTACATGGTAAATTTCCTACCTCTTCAACATTTAGATATTGCTTGTAAAGTTTACTTTCAAATTCTTTAACCAGGATACCCAACACACATACTATCTTTCTCCTCCTCTTCTCATAGCCACCATGTATCTATTCCTCCAAAAGTCTCATTCTATTTCTGGATCCCCAAATTTTCAGCCCAACTCACCCTTGAAGCACTTCGGCAGTGGAGGACTCCATTTACTGTTTGCTTGGCACCATGCTATACTGCTGCCTTTCATGATAAAGCCAGGCTGACAGTTAAACATCACAGCATCATTTAAAGAAAAAGAATGTCTAAATCCAGATTCCATAATTCCATTTTCAACTTCTGGAATTGGGCATTTGACTAGATTAATGCACCGAGGGGGAGGGCCGCTCCAATTGCCAACTTGATTGTCTTTGCTGGTGCAGTATATTGACTTCTCACCCACGAGGTCAAACAGCTTTTTCCCATTGTGTCCAGTGTGGCACTGATAAGTCACCACCATTCCATAGTAAAACTCGCTACTGCTGCTGTGAAAGTACCCATTG